GGCGCGGCTGCCAAGAAGCACTCCGAGGCCAGAGAACGTCTGAGAACCGACGAGTACTCCAGATTTCGTAATAGAAGGGAGGGGGTCTGGACCCTCCAAGACAAGCCATTTCAAACCTCCCCCGTGGGAGAACCCTCCAAAACATCGTCCCCAAACCCCCCAGGCCCTCCAAGATAGCCTGGAAGAGACCCCCCCCGAAATGAGACCCCCCTCCCTTTATATTACGAAATCTGGAATACGTTTGCACGCGCCCGAAAACTTCGGGGAATCGCCCGAGATCTGGGCCAACGGGGCCAGCTCGTCCGGACCGGAGGAGGAGGAGGAGGAGGAGGGCGAGTCCTTGCCGTCCCGCTCGCCGGGCCAGCGCCGCCGCCAGCGGTCGATCGTGGCCTTCAGCTCCGAGGGGCACTCCTTGTACCAGTGGTGGCTCTGCGCCAGCGGAACGAGCGCCAGGGCCCCGAGAATGAGGTACTCTGGGAAGTAGTCGACCTCTCAGGGAGGGAGGAGGAGGAGGAGGAGGAGGAGGAGGAGGAGGAGGAGAGAAGAGGAGGAGGGAAGAGGAGGGAGGAGGGAGAGGAGGAGGAGGAGAAGGAGGACAAGGAGGAGGGAAGGGCAGGAGGAGGAGGAGGAGGAGGAGGAGGGAGGAGGGAGGAGGGAGGAGGAGGAGGAGGAGGAGGAGGAGGAGGAGGAGGAGGAGGAGGAGGACGGGCAGGCGAAAGACCTCGAGGCTCCTCGGAGAGACGCCGCGAAGGCGCCACGAGGGGCACGGGTTCTGGCGGTGAGGCTTCGAGGGTCCCCAATTGCGTTGTCGTCCAGCCCTGTGCGGGTGCTCTCCAGTGTCCGCGCCTTGCCGAAAGCGTCCTGGATGAAGGGGCCCCAGGACACACAAACAAATACACACAAATAGAAATGTTCCCCATATGTTCCCATATTCTTTGGGGTTCTTGTCTTCCCCCCACTTCCCATATGTTCCCATATTTTCTGGGGGATCGACCATGAATTGTGTCTATGTTTTTGTTCCCTCCTGTTCCCATAGTTTCCCATATTTGGGTTTTTTGTGCCTTCCCCCCCACTTCCCATATTTTTCCAGATGTTCTGGGGGATCGACGATTACTTGTGTCTGTGTGTGTTTGTTCCCTCCTGTTCCCATAGTTTCCCATATTTCGGGATTGTTTGCCTTCCCCCCCACTTCCCATATTTTCCCATATTCTCTGGGGGGTCGACCATCAATTGTGTCTGTGTGTTTTTCCCAACCATCCTGTGGTGTTGGGTCCTCGTTTTGAAGAGACGGTGGCCCGCGTCTCCTCCTCTCCTCCTCCCCCCCCTCCTCCTGCCACACCCATTTCGGCACACCCCTCACACGTTTCGTGGCCCCACAGGGAGCTCCACCGAAGGCCCCAGTGCTGCCGCCCGCATGCGTCCCGCACACCCAATTCGGCACACCCCTCACACGTTTCGTGGCCCCATAGGGAGCCCCACCGAAGGCCCCAGTGCTGCCGCCCGCATGCGTCACCCACACCCAATTCGGCACACCCCTCACACGTTTCGTGGCCCCATAGGGAGCCCCACCGAAGGCCCCAGTGCTGCCGCCCGCATGCGTCCCGCACACCCAATTCGGCACACCCCTCACACGTTTCGTGGCCCCATAGGAGCCCCACCGAAGGCCCCAATGCTGCCGCCCGCATGCGTCCCGCACACCCAATTCGGCACCCCACCGAAGGCCCCAGTGCTGCCGCCCGCATGCACGTCGGCACACCCCTCACACGTTTCGTGGCCCCATAGGGAGCCCCACCGAAGGCCCCAGTGCTGCCGCCCGCATGCGTCCCCGCACACCCAATTCGGCACACCCCTCACACGTTTCGTGGCCCCATAGGGAGCCCCACCGAAGGCCCCAGTGCTGCCGCCCGCATGCGTCCCGCACACCCAATTCGGCACACCCCTCACACGTTTCGTGGCCCCATAGGGAGCCCCACCGAAGGCCCCAGTGCTGCCGCCCGCATGCGTCCCGCACACCCAATTCGGCACACCCCTCACACGTTTCGTGGCCCCATAGGGAGCCCCACCGAAGGCCCCAGTGCTGCCGCCCGCATGCGTCAGCCACACCCAATTCGGCACACCCCTCACACGTTTCGTGGCCCCATAGGGAGCCCCACCGAAGGCCCCAGTGCTGCCGCCCGCATGCGTCCCCGCACGCCCAATTCGGCACACCCCTCACACGTTTCGTGGCCCCATAGGGAGCCCCACCGAAGGCCCAGTGCTGCCGCCCGCATGCGTCCCGCACACCCAATTCGGCACACCCCTCACACGTTTCGTGGCCCCATAGGGAGCCCCACCGAAGGCCCCAGTGCTGCCGCCCGCATGCGCTCCGCACGCCCAATTCGGCACACCCCTCACACGTTTCGTGGCCCCATAGGGAGCCCCGCCGAAGGCCCCAGTGCTGCCGCCCGCATGCGTCCCGCACACCCAATTCGGCACACCCCTCACACGTTTCGTGGCCCCATAGGGAGCCCCACCGAAGGCCCCAGTGCTGCCGCCCGCATGCGTCCCGCAAGCCCAATTCGGCACACCCCTCACACGTTTCGTGGCCCCATAGGGAGCCCCACCGAAGGCCCCAGTGCTGCCGCCCGCATGCGTCCCGCACACCCAATTCGGCACACCC